ACTTTTTGTAGAGTGGGCTAGATGTCTCAGAATGAATTCTTGATGGAGGCATGAGTTTGATTTACTTTTTCTCTTTGTCACTTTGGTGTGCTTCCCCTCTGTTGGATGCCCTCTGCCATGCTATGATGCAGGAACTGCTGGTGCTAGATTCTATCACTGTGGTCTTAGACATCCTAGGCCTAAAGACAGTAAGAAACAGCTATTTGCTCTTTATAAATTATCAAGTCTCAACAGCAGCAGGGTGTGCATGTTCATGTATGTGTGAGTACATGTGTATGTGTGTGTGTGCACATGCATGTTTGTGTGTGTGAGTACATGTGTATGTGTGTGTGCACATGCATGTTTGTGTGTGTGAGTACATGTGTGTGTATTCAGGTACACATCTGTGTGCACACATGTGGAGGTCAGAAGACTACTTAAGGTGCCCTCTACGTTTTTATTGAGGCAGGGTGTCTTACTGGCTTGGGACTCACCAAGTAAGCGAGGCTGGCTGGCCCGCAAGTCCTGGGGCTGCCCCTGATTCTGCCTCTTCAGTAAGGGAATTATGGGAACACACTGCCAGGATGTGTTTTAATTTTCATGTGGCTTCTGGGGATTGCACTCAGGCCCTTGTGCCAAGCACTCAATGAGTCTTCCTCTTAGTCCTTCTGGCACTTTTGATTGTTTTTTTAGTGCGGGCTTTAATTATTTTCATTTTCCTTCTATTCTAGCCTTCTCTAATCTTAGTATTTTTGTGATGACAGTGAGCTAGCGACATATTTCCCCGTTGCTTGTTTCATTTAATGTCAGTGTCTAGCTCACTTCACTTCGGAAGGCAGACTTGTCAGCAGAGGAATCCTCCCCTACCAGTTTAATTCTTTCGTGGCAGGTTGCCACATTTGCACCTCTTGATCCCGATGGGTTTTGATGAAAAATCAGGCATGGATCTTCTTGAGGCTCCTCTGTGTGCGATGAGTTTCTTCTTTCTTGCTGCTTCCAAAACTCTCTCTATGTGTGTCTTTTCTTAGTATGGTTGTGGAGTATCTAAATGTGAATATCTTTGAGTTACTTTTACCCAGCGTTCATTGAGATGCTTGGATGTGTAGATATTTCCCTAAGACTTGGGGAGTCTCCAGCCACGGCTCTGGCTTTCACTGTGAATGTCTATAGAGGCATGCCTATGTCTTTGAAGCTGCATTCACTTGCTTACTCCCACATCCCACTCTTGCATAAGGATTAAGTTCAATTCGCCAGTCTTCAGATCCATTGGATTTTGTTTCCAGTGAACACTTCACAAGTCCTATACTTCTGCCATTTTTAGTGGTGATTTTGACTTCCCTTTCTCTGTTAATGTTTTCTGTGTGGCAAGACCTCTCCTCCGCCTTGCCCCCCAGCTCTTCAGACACAATTTCCTTTAGCTGTCTTAGTAGGCCTTTCAGTGCATTTTAAACAGCCTGGATGGAGTTTTTATCTGATCGCCTCAGTGCCTGGGCTTCCGCAGGGACCTTCTCCGTCAGCATCTCCCCTCTAACCCTTTCTTGCTTCTTTTCTAGCATCATAATCATAGTTTTCATTGCAAACCCAACACTTTACATAGCGTGCAGAAATGCTGGAAGCCTCTTTCTTCCATTTCCACTGAGCTGGTGGTTTGTTCTGGTCCCACTGTTTGTGAGTGACTTTTCTGAATGAGTCCTGCAGGGCCTGTGCTCACTGTCATGTTTGGTCACTGACAGTCCAGCACCACTAGTTCAAGGGCCAGTTAGAAAGATTTCCTAAAGAGGCTAGAATCACTCTGGTGACCGCTGTTTGTGGGGGACTCTATGTACATCCTAAAGCATGTCTTCAACTCCTCCAGGCAGGTGACAATCCTGCCTCTGGCCTCCTGTTCTTGACAGAGTCTGAGGTCATTGTGAAGTAAATGCTCAGGGCTTTCCCAAGCATGTCAAAGAGCTGCTGTGAATGTGTAGACTCTCAGATCTGACAAATATCCCAAGGGGTTAAAAAAATATCACATGAAAATCTCATTCCCAAGTTTTAATCTTTAAGCTTTCTGGTTGGTCTATGGCTTGCCTGCTTTGGTTGAAGCAGCCATAGAGTTCTATAGTTATTTCTTGGGGAAGGAGCTGCTAGCCCTGGGGAAGTATTTGACTAGGCCAAGTAAGGAGAAGTGTTGTGTATAATATTTTCCAGAGCCCCACCAAAAAGGTTGCCTAGTGACTCCTGTCCCCCATGCCCTGTTCTCTGCTCTTGCCTCCTGCCCTGTTTCCTGCCTCTATCTCTCCCAGTGACTGTGGGCAACAGAGGCTGGCATTGGGTTTTTTGTCTGCTGATTTGTTTGCACATGCATGAGTGTGTGTGTGTGTGCGCTAAAAAGTGTGTGGGGTGTGTGCTTATGTATACATGTGAGTATATGTGGAGCCTAGTGGTTGACGTTGGGAATTTTGATTGATTTCTACCTTATAGATTGAAATGGGATCTCTCATCTGAGCCAGGAGTCTCTAATGGGCTAGACTGGCTATCCAGCTTGCTCTAGGGATGCCCTGTCTTTGTCTTCTGAGTACTGAGAGTGCAGGTGGCAACCACACCCACCCAGCCTTTATGTGGGTGCTAGGAATCTGAACTCTGGTCATTACATGTGTGTGTGGGGGGGGGGGTCAGGGACCAAGTGCTTTACTAACTGAACTATCTCTGTACCCCCATCTTAGTTTATGTTTCTATTGCTGTAAAGAGACACCATGACCACAGCAACTCTTAGAAAGGAAAACCTTTAATTGGGGCAAGCTTACAGTGCAGAGGTTTAGTCCATTATCAGCATGTCAGGAAGCATGGCAGCAGCAGGCAGACACGGTGCTGGAGAAGGAGCTGCGAGTCCTGCATCTGGAACCATAGGCAGCAGGAAGAGACAGTGAGCCACTAGGCCTGACTTGAGTTTCTAAACCTCAAAGCCCAACCCCAGTGACACACTTCCTCCAACAAGGCCACACCTAATCTAGTGAGGCCACACCTCCTAACAGCGCCACTCCCCATGGGCCTATGGGGGCTATTTTTCATTCAAACCCCCACATCCCACTCCCCTTTAAAATCTAACCAGGAATTATCCATTTTTCATAGATTGATGCTACACTTGCAGCCCCTGCACTAACTTTCAGAGCTCCGAGAAAACTGGCCCTGTCAGATTTTCCCAGCGGTCTCCTTACTTTGTTGGAGGGGATTCCTAGGGGACTTTCTTCCTTCTTGCTGTCTGTGACTTCACTGGGTGAACTTAATCTCATGATCGATGTATGTCATTTATTCACTAAGTTTCGCTATGCTGGTGATGAAGCTCGGGGCCTTGTGCACAGTAAGCAAGTCCTGCCTCTGAGCTACACCATCGCCCTCTGATTTTAGTATGCCACTTCGCTGAACTGAATATTATAAATATTTTTATTTCAAGATATAACCTGTCTTAGTCAAGGGTTCTACTGAAACAGATGAAACACCGTGGCCAAAAATCAAGGTGGGGAGGAAAGGGTTTATTTGGTTTACAGTTTTATGTCACTGTTCATCACTGAAGGAGGTCAGGACAGGAACTCAAACAGGGCAGGATCCAGGAAGCAGGAGCTGATGCAGAGGCCTTGGAGGGGTGATATTTCCTGGCTTGATCATCATGGCTTGCTCAGCCTGCTTTCTTACAGAAGCCAGGACCACCAGCCCAGGCGTGGCCCCTCCCACAATGGGCTGGGCCCTGGGCCCTCCCTTATCACTCACTAATTAAGAAAAAGCCCTCCAGCTGGACGTTATGTACACATTTTCTCAACGGAGGCTCCCTCCTTTCAAATGACTTGAGCTTGTGTCAAGCTGACACAAAACTAGCCAAGATATAATCGATATAGAAATTTTAATGGTATATTTCACTTTCATGGTTTTGGTTTGTTTTTTTTTTTGAGATTTGCTCTTGTTATGTAGCACAAATTAGCCTCAAACTCATCTTAAGCTTCTCAAATTCTGGGATATAGTTTCCCATTTTTATACAATCTTCAAAATCCAGGGTTTTATACAACAAAAGCATCCCATCGGGACTGGCCCCATCGCAAGGGTTCTTTCTGTAACATGCTTGGCTTACAGCAACGCCCCAGTCGATGAAGGTTTGTTACACTGTTACACTGTCTTAGGTTCTGCTCGCTCTCCCCTTCTCGATAGATACTAAACATACATTATGGAAAATATCAGCTCGTGAACATGTGTTATACATGTCTTTTTTTTTCTTAAGAATAATACTTCTTTGGACCTGGAATAGGAAAGGGGAAGTAGAGCATAAAAGAAAAACTCAGTTAAATATTAGGAATACCATAGGAGTTAGATTAATTTTTTGGAAATTATTCAGATGTCTCCTTCCCCTCCAGCTAAGGGTTGAATGATGTCAGCCTAGTCATGTGATCTGAAATGCTAGCATCCATACAAGAACGAAGACTTAAAGAGACCATGCAGGTTGTCCCTGTCCCATTGGAGCTGGCACAGAAGTATACCAGTGATCACCTGCTTCCCCAGGAACAGACGTTTGACACAGGAAAAGGAGCTGACTGAGCCTGGTAGGTTTCCCTAGCCAAAGCCTGCCTATGTTAGCTTACCTCTGTCAAAGCCCAAGGCTGGGAGCTATATAAATCATCATTACAAGAGGCTGGGTAGATGGCTCAGTGGTTAATGAGAGCCCGAGTTGAATTCCAACACACAGATAGAAAGCTGGATGTGGTCTGTAACCTCAGCATGGGAAGGCAGAGACACACAGATTCTTGGAGCTCACTGGCTAGTCAGTCTTGTCTAAAACGTGGGTCTCAGGGAGTGAGAGACCCTGTCTCAAGGGAACCAGGTGCTAAGCAATCTCAGAAGACACCTTGATACCAACCTCTGGCCTCTACATGTGCCCCACAAGCAATACATATGTACATACATACCTACTTTGGAGTTCTGCTGGTCACATGGCTGCAGGAGAGGCAGCCTTGTTTTACTGGAACAGTTAGCTGGTACAGCCACTACCTGGGGAGCAGTCAAAAACAGATGCTGCGGTCAGTGAGCAAAATGTAAGTGCTTTAGTCAAGCTTTGTCAGCAAGCACTCTTGTTCCTTGATTTCTTCTCACTCTGGTTTGTGAGTGTCCTGGCAGCTTCTCAAAGAGCAGGTCAGAAGGGTCTGCTCATTCTGAAATCTCAGGCTGGAGGAAAAGTGCCTCCCATGAGGCCCACAGCTCTCACGTAGAGTGAACACACACACAAACATGTTCTTGATTTTCCCTGAGTGGAGAGGCCATCCCACACCCACTGAAAGTACAATCAGCCAGAGCAAGACCACCACAGATAGGATGAAGTCAGATTCCCAGGCAGGGCTGGATTGTGACAAGGGAAATGAATCTCCCATCAAGACCAGGTAGCCACTTAGCTATTGATAAATGACATTGATGTTAGTTATTTTCACGAACAGCACAAGAACTTCAAAGGCTGTATATCTTCAACATGTTTGAACAAACAGTGGAACCATCAGTAACACCTTCTACTGTGTTCTAGAGATTGGCTGAGCTCCGCTTTTCTTTCTGGAGACGTCTGCAGGAGGAAAACACGTAGGTCGGAGAGTGAGCAAATGCCATGGGAAGTAGTCATGCTTCCCTGCTATATCCTTAGGTCATCTGGATGAGCAAGTCTCACAGCAGGAGCTGTGTGTCATAGCCGGGGCCACACCTCATCCACTCCGGAGCACAGCTGGCTTCTGTCTCTAGTCCAGCTTTCTCTGCAGGATTCCTGGAAGGATGCTGTCAGCAGGGCTGTGTCACTAGAAGGGTGAACTGCCAGCCCCAAGCAGCAGCCACCTGCTCAGCAACCTGGGGGTGGGGATGGGGGAAGCCGCTCTCTGAGGACCCTCAAGACAGCAGCCTCCCCGTGTCATGTGCCTGGGACAGGACCCCCTGGGAAAAGTCGGTCAGAGAGAGGAGCTTTAGAGAGGGTGGGGGAGGGGAATCGGTGGAGGAGGAAGCAGATCTACAGGGCGCTCTGAAGAGGCAGCTGCTGGCTGCATCCATGCTTCCCGGTAGAGTGACTCAGTGTTCCTCCCAGCACAGTGTCTACTGTAGGCTGTTCTGATGTGAATTTCCCATTTTCCCTTTGGTAGTTGAGAAAAAATATGCCCCCAACTCTTTTTTCTGTCTTGTTGAACTTTCTATGAAGTTTGGAATGGACTTGACTCCCGATCCTCCTGCCTTGACCGCATCCCACCCTGACCATGTGCTGGGATTATAGGCATGCACCATTACTCCTGTTTATATGTAGGGCTGGGAGAATCTAACTCAAGGCCGTGTGCACGCCAAGCAAACACTCTAGCAACTGAACTACAACCCCAGGCCCTCTGTTTTCTTTCGTTTTGTGAGAGCTCTTAGCAGTATGCAATGACACCGAAGCTCATGTCAACTGCTGCATGTAACAATGACCTCTATTGGAGACCTGGGCCAGGATGGCACGCAACCTCCTTGCCTCTTAAGCAAATGTGACACCGTAATCAGGGGAACACAGGGAAAGGATTCCTCACATCTTCTGGGTCTAGGCATGACATTGTAGCACCTCTAGTCTGACTGTGAGAACACCATGTAATTTCCAGGATCACCCAACACGGGGTCAGATGGTACTATTCATGATCTTCATCTCAAAACTTCTGCCATCCTGAGAGATATCTAAGGATTGCCTTGTACTAGCATTTCAAAACAAAGACTTTCTAACATGAGGCTTGGTGTGCGATTTATTTCAGTAACCAACTCTACCGTGACTATGCTTAGCGTGGTGTCAGTGAGAGGCTCTCACTGGTAGTATTTAACATGCCATGTGTGTGTTCTGTTTCCATCACTCAGAGGAGGTCAGGGAAGGCACTCCAGCAGCCATGCTCAAGCCATAGGCACAGTCAAGAGCAGAGGGAAATGGAAGCACCCAGGTTGTCTCCTCACTTTCTAGGGAGCTTTCCCCTCTCTTACACAGTTCAGGGCTCAGCCCGTGAAATGATGCTATCCACATTCAGTGTGGCCCTCCCACCTCCATTAACAAGACCGACCCCCACAGACATGCCCTCAGACACCGACCCCCACAGATGTGCCCTCAGACACCGACCCCCACAGACGTGCCCTCAGACACCGACCCCCACAGACGTGCCCTCAGACACCATCCCCACAGACATGCCCTCAGACACCACCCCCACAGACATGCCCTCAGACACCATCCCCACAGACGTGCCTTCAGACACCATCCCCACAGACATGCCCTCAGACACCGACCCCACAGACGTGCCCTCAGACACTGACCCCCACAGATGTGCCCTCAGACACCGACCCCCAAAGACGTGCCCTCAGACACCACCCCCACAGACATGCCCTCAGACACTGACCCCCACAGATGTGCCCTCAGACACCGACCCCCCACAGACGTGCCCTCAGACACTGACCCCCACAGATGTGCCCTCAGACACCGACCCCACAGAAATGCCCTCAGACACCGACCCCACAGACGTGCCCTCAGACACCGACCCCACAGACGTGCCCTCAGACACCGACCCCCACAGACGTGCCCTTAGACACCGACCCCCACAGACGTGCCCTCAGACACCGACCCCCACAGACGTGCCCTCAGACCATCTTGCTCTAGGTAATTCCCCACTAAGACTCTTTTGCCGGGTGACTCTATGTTGTGTCAGTCTGACAATGCCAACCAGCCAGTGTACCACGTCTTTAACAAAGAGCCTCCTTTGTGCCGAGAACGAGTTTTCCCTGGGAAGACTTACATGAATGGCCCCTCAGTGCCAGCACAGGGATGTCTCATGAATGACAAAGTGGGTGAAAGAAGCCTCAGCTTTGATGGCCAGGGTCTCCTTCCACCCCTGAGTGTTCCTACTGCCTTCAATACCCTCGCAAAACAAGAGCCGAGCACACCAGGACCTTAAAATTCCAAATAACTGGGCCCCAGGCGTGCCCTTCTCTTGGCAGCTACTTTCGTTAGGTGGCTCGGATTCCGGAACCCACTCTGGCAGCTAAGAGCATGACTCATCCGATGAGCGCACCTTCTCTGACTGGATTCAAGTCAGGAAATGCTGTTGCTGTTGCCAAGATAGTATTTATAGGAAGCTATCAAAACAGCAGTTGATTAGCCATGTGGAGCAGGGCTCCAGGAAAACAAAATCCCAAGTCCTTTTCCTCAGGCCTCAGCTTCTGCTGAGGTAAAAACAGCTTCATTCCTTGCAGATACGACAGACTTTCCTAGGACAGAGGTGACAGCACTGCGCTCAGTGTGGCAATTTGTTTCCTCCTGTTATTGTGTCAATGTTTATATCCAGCCACACAGCTGTTGTGGAAAGCCAAGTTGACCCCAACGGTGCCTCTAGGGACACCTTTCGTGTTTTTCTCTTTCCCTGGTCTCAGACTCTGTGGCTGTGTACATCCCAAGACCCCACTACTCTGGTGTCTTCCCAAGTTTAACTTCCAGCTAAGGTCTGGGTCTATATGCGTATTCTACACTTCACATTGCTTACTAGAGACAGTCATTCTGCCTGTGTGTGTATGTATGTGTGTGCACACACGTATGTGTGTATGTGTGTGTGTACACGTTCCTGTGTGTACATACACTAGTTGAGCATTTGTGTATTTGATATGTCCATATGGAGGTTAATATCAGTTGCTTCCCTTTATCTCTCTCTACCTTGATTTTTGAAACTGTCCCTCATTGAGCCTGGAGCTCTCTGGCTAGCCAGTAATTTCCGGGGGATTCTCCTGTCTTCGCCAACACTGCAGTGCAGACATGCACCACCACACCCAGTTTTATGTGGGCTCACCTCGCCTGCTAAGAATTTCCCCGGCCTACCATTTGCTTTTAACAGAGACACCTCAGCCCAAAAGTTTCTCTCCCTCCCTCCCTTCCTTAAAGATGTGCACTACCAAGCCTAGACCCTCTGCTCATTTCTTTAAAATCGCTTCTTTCTCTGTACTCTCCAGTGAGGTCAAGGGTGCAATCTGTTTAACCCAGACTTTCATCGTCCTTCCGGTGTTTTCTCTCTCACTTCCATTTTCACATTCACATCATTTACACTCCCTGCTTCAGATTACCTCCTAAACCCTTGACCTGTCTTTCCCCAGCCCACTTGTCAGGCCAGTATGTGTCACTGGCTCAGTATCTCACTGTGGCTCTGGTGGGGAGGCTTGTGTTGAATACTGCAGCCAGAACCAGAGCGGTCCATGCTGAGCACAGTGCCTCCATCCTGACACTGGACATCCCTGATGCTTGGCCGAGGCACTCATGCCCTCCAAGTGGCCCTGGGATTCCACTGAAGATTTTGTGACCACACACAGCCCTGGCCTCCTGAGTATGAAAGACGGGTAGAATTTTGTTTCCCAAATTTTCCTCGGCAGGTGACAGTGATCCCTGGTGTTAGCCCCTCTGTGCTCCCAGTGTTCCATGGTATTTTTGATGCCACATCTCTGAGTCCTAGGTCCTTCCTCACCCTCCAGTGTCACTGAGGACCGGTATTCTGTAGAACCCTTTTGGCCAAAGCCATGCTCCTCCTGTGGGTCACTGCCGGCTGTCTGTCATGAGCCCTATCAGGAAGCCTCTGAATAGGCCCCTCCAGTACTGGTAATGACTCTCCTTGGTTGCCTCTTCAGGATGGGGCTGTAGTTTCAAGTCACTCGACTGCTTTGCACAGTTCTGTTATGCCCTGCCTGTACAGTTATTTAATGTACCATGTCAGACATTCTCTAACTACGGATTGGGGTGTCCTCTCCTTCCTACCTGGACTCTGGGAAAAACTAGCAGCAAACACACCTTCTCTAGTACCATCCTAATTGTCTTCATTGTCTCTTTGTGGAAAAGAAAAGAGACTTGTAAGGTTCCTGACGTAACCAAGAGCACAGGTGTGCTTATGTCAGTGTGGAGACATCATGATGTGTGTGTGCTTCTGTATTCAGAAGAAAAAAGTGTGGGAGAAAGAGAGAGAAAGAGAAAGCTCTGCACTCACATCCATTGTATACCACCCACCACAGCTGATGTCTAAATGATGACGAATGTCTCAGATCACAAACTTTCATGCTTCATGAAATTAGCCTCATCGAAACTATGATCATCATCTCTATATTATAGGTGGTATCTCCCTAAACACAGCAAAAGCATCAAGAAAAAAATAATACTTTAAAGATCTTTATGTGTGTGTGTTTGAATAATTAATGCCTGGGTTTGCTGCGGATACTCAGTGAAGTGTGTCCTGAAAAGAGTGTTGTGTAGTCTTTGGGTATAGGGTCTAGGGATGGCAGACTAACATATTCTTTATATGGCTTGAAGCTGGGAGGTCTCAAGTGAGATGTTACTCTTTAGATCACTCAACTCAGGGTGTGGGGGGAAGCCTTTAAGACTCCCAGATGTCATGGAGATCAAGTTCTTTGTCAACCTTGCACTCTCAGCATCCCAGAAATCTGGATGGCAGTGGAAAAGAGATGGGAGAACTGGTCTACCCATGAGATTCTATTCTCCTTGAAGGCAGAAATCATGTATGCTATATTCCTTGATTCATTAAATATTTGGAGTAGGGATCTGTGGAGATGGCTCAGTTGACTAAGTGCTTTTCATGAAATCTTGAGCACCCATGCAAAAAAACTAGGTATGGTAATGTATATTTGTAAGGCCTGTGCTGGAGAGGCAGAGACAGAAGGATCCTTGGACATTCTAGCCATCACAATTAGCAAACCCCAGATCCCAGTGAGATACCCTGTCTCAAACAACAACAAAAACCATCTTCAAAAAAATGACACCTAAGGCTGTCTTCTGGCCTCCACATGCATACACATACACACGGACATTTACACACACACACTTTGCTCTGAGGTACCAATATCATCTAGACTATACCATATAGAACATTCTAAACTTATGACTTGGAAGTTTGAACATGATTATACTTGCTGTCTAGTCATCCCATAAATTGGTCATTCGCTGACCTTGAGTTTAGTAAACCCAAACTTGGTTACCTGTTGACTTGGCCAAGATTTTCCTGAGGTTCCCTTTCCTTCTGGTGTCCATCATGTCCTGAGAGTGACTGTAGAGTTCATGGCTTGAGGGAAAGATGCTGGAGTGAAGAAGATGACATAAAGACTACATGTGATTAAGAATTCTGGTGATAAACTTCAAAGGAGAGTTTTGGGACCTCAGGGGCAGTGATGTTTCCTAGTGGAAAAAAAGATTACCTTCTCATCAATCCCAACAGCTGACCTGACTCTTATCTCCACACTAGATCCTGAGGAACACTCACTACAGATCACACTCCAGCCCAGTGTATACCCCTGTGATACCAAGTTACCAGAGCTTGTTTCTGCTTCCTGGGTAGGCTGGGTTGGAACTTCTGTGGAAGTCTCTTGGTGTGCTGGTTAGTTTCTGTTGAGAACACACAAACTAGAGTCCCCTAAGAAAAGGAAACCCCTGTTGAGGAATTTTCTCCATCAGATTGACTTGTGGGTAAGTATGTGAGGGCACTTTCTTGATCAATGATTACAGTTGGAGGACCCAGTTGCTGTGGGCAGTTGCCGTCCCTGGACAGGTGGTATTGGGCTACATAAGAAAGCAAATTTAGCAATCCAGTAAACAGCATTCCTGCTTGGTCCCAACTTCAGTTCCTGCCTCCAGCTTCATGCTCAAGTTACTGCCCTTGTAACAATGGACTGTGATGCGGACATGTAAGATGAAATAATGCCTTTACTCCCCAAGTTGTTTTTGGTCGGTGTTTTAACTCACCAACAGAGAAGCACACCGGAACACTTAATTCTTAGTACGAAGATTTGGATTTGACAGTGTAATTTTGGTACAAACCTAAGCTATAAAGCAGAGTGAGGCAAGAGAGTGTTCAGAGTCCCACATGACTTGTTCCTATAAATGAAGAGACAGCGTGGGCCCGTGTCCTTCTATTGCGGGGGAAGGGCAATAGGATTGCTCGGTCTTCCTCAGGCACAGATCTTCACTGCTTGCCACGTGGTGTCTTCTCTTCAGTGCTGACCACTGTTCCCATTGACCACATAAATAGTAAGCTGGGGCTATAAAAAGCAACACACATAAAAAGTCACTGAATTGCTTGTTGAATCTGGAACATTCCTGCTGATAGATGTGAAAGCTTTTTCCAACTGCAGCTAGGTACAGGAATTCAAAAATAGAATGTATTCAATTTAACATTGTTTAGTGTACTCTAAAAATTCTCTTGGAAAAAAAATGTCTTCGGGTGTGCATATGGGAGCACACAATAAACTTCAAAAAAGGACAACATTTCCCAGGAAATCAAAATAGACATGTTTGTCATTGCTGCTATTTATTCATGTTGGAAATCTGTTCCTCTTTATCTGTGGTTACGTAACACCCCAATCTAGTTTTCTCTCTCTCTGGCCTTGTTCTAGAGATTCACATCAGAAGCACCCCTACCTGGGATGGCCTGAGCTACTGTTGACAACTGTTTGCCAAGACTGGTGAGCCATGGACTACCCTGGTGTTAGGCTGAACTTCATTGGCCATTTTCAGTAACGGATTATGTGCATCTTCATTCATCAGGCTACATTTTCTAGAAACATGAAGGATTTCAGAAGATCTGGCTTTTAGACAATATGCTGCAGGGAGGATATGATCTGGGCAGTGGCAATTGCAGTGGAGAAGGGAGCCACATCTGAACAGGTGTGATCTAATAATCTCAGAAGTGCTGATGCCCAGACAGTTGGCCAGCGCAGTCATAGAACATGGAGGTCACTCATCTCATGGGCTGCAGCATTTGGGGAGGATGAACTTTGACCCATGAAAATGGGGAAGTGTTTTGAGAGGCATGTATAAAGGAAGTGAGGCTTGGGTCTGAAAGAAAGAGGAGGCCAGCATCACTAGGGTGGAGACCACTCCGCACTTCCAAAGCCCTGAGAGCCGGTGGCCTTGGACGAATTCAGAAGAAAAGGTCTGGCTGGATGCCCAGACGTGAAATCCTGTGAGTGAAAGGGATCTGGCTGTGTCTTAGTCAGAGTTCTATTGCTGTGAAGAGACATTATGACCACAGCAGCGCTTACAAAAGAAAGCATTTAATTGGGGCTTGCCTATGATTTCAGAGGTTTAGATTTCATCATGGCGCGAGGCATTGCAGCACTCAGACAGACGTGGTGCTGGAGAAGGAGCTGAGAGTTCTACCCCTGGATCGGCAGGCAGAATGAAGTGAGATAGTCGCTAGGGCTGTCTTAGGCTTTTGAAACCTCAAAGCCCACCCGCAGCGATGCACTTCTTCCAACAAGACCACACCCACTCCAACAAGGCCACGCCTCCTAATCCTTCCCAAGTAATGCTATTCTCTGATTACTAAGCATTCAAACATATGAGCCTATGGGGACCATTCTTTTTCAAACCACCACATTCCACTCTCCTCACAGCAATAGGGTACTAAGACAGGAGCTGGGTATTGTTGTGACAGGCCCCTCTCATTCATATTGCCAGGGCCAGCTCTACAGTTTTGTCCAGGAAAGGTTCAGGGCCCGCTCTCCTTCAGGGGGCATATGAAGGGAGGGATCAGCTCTCCTGCTCTTATGTCCCCAGGGCTGGCTCACCTGGGACCCCAACCACAGTGTCAGCTCTAGTGTGCTGCCCAGGTCTGAGTATAGGCCCCACTCTCCCGAGCGCAGCAGTTGGAGAGTGGCAGGGCGAGCTCTCTGACTCTTGTGACCCTGCCACAGGTAGCAAGGGGCAGAGGGCAGAGGGTATCTTTCTCTCACCCATGCTACCACATGGCAGACAGAGGGTTGGGGTCAGCTCTGTCGTTCTCACACCTTCAGGGCTGGTCCACCCGTGTCCCTGACCACTGGGTCAGCTCTAGTGTGCTTCCCAGGTGAGGTGTGCACCTATGGTGAGGGGCGGGGCCATCTTTCCCAAGTGCAGGGTGAGTTGTCCCCTGAGGAGTAAGTACGGTCAGCTTGTCTGCTGCAAGTGAGGGGCAGGACCAGTTATCGAAGGGCCAGTGAAGGGCAGGGCCAGCTCAGCATACCATGGTTCCAATAACTCCTTTGTTAACATAGACCGTGAACATCACCACAGACTCCAGCTGCAGCAGGACCACAAGCCCAGACATGGCCCTTGGCAGCAACTTGGGCCTAGATGCTACCACAGTCCTGGTGGCAGCACAGCCCTGGCAGCAGCACCCCCAGGCATCAACATAGCCCTAGGTGACTGGCCAGAATCTGGGTATCTGCAGAATCCTTGATGGCAATTGGAGCCATGAACACCACTCCAGACTCTGGCATTTGCAGGGCTATAGACCCAGACATGGCCTGTGCCCGGACATCTTCATGGCTCCAGGAGGTAGCATTGGCTACTCAGATCAGTATGGACTTGGCACAGCACAGTCCTTGGACACCAACTTGGTCCAAGGTGACTATCTAGACCCTTGTCATCTTCATGGTCCTCATTAACAACAGGAGCCCCAGGCATTAACTCAAACCCTGGCTGTTTTAGAGCCGTAGATCCAAACATGGCCCTCTGCAGCAGTCCTGATCAGGATGACACCATGATCCAAGATGACAGTGCAGGCTACTCAGATCAGGATGTCCCTGGTGGCAGCATGACCCTTGGACATCTCATGGCCACAGGTTGCAGCCCAGACCTCAAACATCTATGTTGCCTTTAGTGGCAACATGGGCCATGAACATCAATACAGACTCTGACTATGATAAGACCACAGACTCAGACATGGTCCTAGGCAGCAGCTTGGGTCCAGATATCACCATGGTCCCAGGTAGCAGAACAGGCCATCCAGACTGGCATGGCCCCAAAGCATCATGGTCCTCAGATACCAACACAGCTCCAGGTAGCCGCCTAGACCTCCAGCATTGGCACAGTCTTCAATGGTCTCATGAGCCATAGACACCAACACAGACCCTGGACTGGATGCAGCAGGGTCAAGGACTCAGACATGGCCCTTGGCCACAGCCCAGATCTGGATGACACCATGACCCCAATTGACAGCCCTGCACAACCAAATTGGTCTGGCATTGGCAGTGGCACAGTCTGGGTGCCAACATGGTCACGGGTGGTAGAGCAGACCCTAGGCATCCACTTGAGCTCTATTGGCAACCTGGGCCAGGGACATCAACACAGACCCTGTCCACAGCAGAACCATGGAACCAGACTGGTCCCCGGCAGCAGGCCAGGCCACATTGTTACCATGGCCCCAGGTGGCTGTGCAGGCCACCCAGATTGGCATGGCCTCCATGGCAGCGTGGCCGTCAGACACCAACCTGGCCCCAGGTGGTGGCTCAGACCATAGGCTCCAGTGATGACAGGAGTCACAGAATCAACTCAGGCCCCCTCCGCTGCTCCAGGGGTCCAGAACAAGTCCTGGCTTTTGGTCATAGCTCAGGCTCAGACATCTCCTTACATGCGGGTGGCCAGATGGCCATTCATGCCAGCCTGTTCATCACCACCCTCATTTCCTCAGATCTGTCACTCTCCCCAACCCACAAGCCATCCCGCCTCTCCCTCTCCCACCTCCCCCCTGTACTGTCTCACCACAGTGGTGACCACCTGCCTGGTCCCAGGGCTCTTAGTTGGTCATAGGTAGTGCTTGATTGAATACTGCCTGCCCCAGCCTTAAACAATGGCGCGAGGTGTTGTCTTTCCTCTCTCCCGCCCGGGTTTAGAGAACTCAGGCGGTACTTGGTGGGGTCACACAGCATGGGCCCAGATGGAGCCAACATCTCCTGGGTGGCTGTGGCCCCCACAGATCCAAAAGTCTGGGGAGGTGCCGTCTGTGTCCACCTGGCTGACTCAGGCCCTGGTGGGCCAGGGGTTGGTGTTTCATTAGAGGACTTAGGACGGAACAAACTTTCAGTCCACAGCCACTTCCAAGTCAGGAGGGGCCTCTTGCCTGGAGCAAGAGTTTCCACATGTCCGTCTGTTTCTGCGTTGTCTTTCACAGAAAGCCCACAACATGGCATTCAGGACGAGGTCTGTGCCAAGGGTCACAGGGCTGGGAGTTGAGGGAGAGGAGTGCAAACTGTGCACATGTGCACGTAGTGGACACACGAAAAAGTGACCTTTCGGCCACCCGTATCTCATTTTTGCAACCTGTTGTCACCACGTAGAGGGCTCTCCTGGTGCTTCCTCTTCATCCGTTTTAGCCTGTTCTCTCATTTGCTCCAACCATGCTCTAGGAGCTAACTGAGACTAATGGCCTTTTCCTGTTTCTGTGTGAAAGGCTGCCTTTCTTGGGGCTTGATAAGTATATGAGCTTTGGAACAGCAACGAATAGGATCCCATCTCTGCTCTGACATTGTGGTCTGTCTACTCCTTGATGTGTGTCTCAGCCCCTTATAGACCTTCTCATCTGCCACTGGTTACGACACTGTCGAATGGAGCTCCTAGGCACAAAAGACAATGCTCTCAGTTACAATGCTATCAGCACAGGGTGGGGACAGGGTTCTCCCTGCTTCCTTTGTGATCTTTACTGGAACAGATGAAGGTGCTCTTATTGTAACTTTATTTTTTTAATATCATGGATTCCTGCGTGTGCCTGTGTTTCCATGCATGTGTGGAATACAGAGGTCATAAGATCTCTTTCTGTGCCATAGTTATAATGCTATTTTTTAAACATGGGATCTCACCATGTAACTGTCCTGGAGCTCACTCCATAGGCCAGGATGGTCTGGAACTCACAGAGATTCTCCTGCCTCTGCCTCCCGAGTGCTGGGATTAAAGGCGTGCAGTGCCACACTTGAAAGCCTGTCTCTTATGCAACAGTGTAGACCCGGAAGCACTTCGTTCAGCAGTTTCATACATAGGCTCACTGGAGAGATTGCCCAGTGTTTTTCCTTTCCTGTGATGTCCTTGACCATCTGAGTACTGAGCTTTGTTCTTATGAGGGACACAAGAATGTGTTTTGCTGGTTTGTTTCCTGGAAGCAGACAATCAAATTGGATATAATTTCTAACCTTGATCCTTTGCTAAGTTTCCTGATGACCTATTTTGTCTAGGACCGAATCTTTCCTTTTTTTTCTAGGAACATCTTTTAATTCTTGATTAAATCTCTGTCACAACGGGCCATTTAGGGTGTCTCTATGCTGTGTGTTAACTTGGGTTTGGCTGAGAATTGTCAGTTTTCTACCTGAACTTTCCCAACTCATTCACATAAAGTTCTTGCATAAAATTCCCTTCCCTTTAATATATTAAAATTATTTTATGTGTGTGGGTATTTTTCCTGCACCATGTCTGGGTACTGTGTGTGCCTGGTGCCTGCTGAGGCTGTAAGAAGGTGTCAGTCCCCTGAAATTGGAATTACAGGTGCTAGTTAGCTGCCATGTGGGCATTGGAAATCAAACACTGGTCCTCTGGAAGAACAGCCAGTGTCTCCTAACTGCCGAGCTAACTCTCCAGTCCACAATGCAGTTATCTTTTGAGTGTTCATAGGTTCTGCAGTAATACCCTGTTTCCAATTGGTGACTGGTCAGTTACTGATATTTGTGACTCTTGCATTCTTTCCTTTGGTGAATTTTAAGTTTTTACCATTACTGTGTGTTTACGCAAGTACTTATTGTCATAGCATAGGCATTCATCTCTGTCGCTAGTCTGTGAGGTTCTTTTTTTTTAATTCAGATGATGAATGGATGTTCGATTTTTTAAAACTTTTTATTGGTTCTTTGTGAATT